GATCTGGAAGCTCATGGTGAGGAGATGTCCTATCGACCTACGTCAGATGAGGGCGAAGATCTGGAGATGGGTGAGCCGGAGGAGGATGAACGGCAGGGCGAAGGAGACGGTGATCAGTTAGAGCCGCCGCCTGATCCAGGACCCAGTCAACCAGAACCACCATCGGTGCCACCTCCAAAGACTCCAGAGGAAGTTGAAGAGCACCAGAAGGTCTACAAGATGATCACAATGTCCATTTGCCTACCACTGACCTCGAAAAGCGCAGCAGAAGTCCTTGCTGGAACGCAGGAACTATTTGGAATGCTGAGACGCCACGGCTACCCTGTGGCTAGAATCCATACCGATGCAGGCCGGGAGTTCGACAACAACCCGTTCAAGAGGTGGTGCTTGGAGAGGGGGCTGGCTAGAACCTTCAGTCCTCCGGATGAACACCAATCAAACGGTCGTGCTGAGGCCATGATTGCGTCGATCAAGCAAAGGGTCCGTCGACTTCTACATGCTTCGGGCATGCCCACGAAGTGGTGGCCGGCAGCGGCTAGACATGTGACGGAGCTGGAAAGAAGGAGAAGAGAGAACATCAAAGAGACTCTACCACGCTTTGGGCAGCTCATCACAGTGAGAAAGCGAGCCTGGGAGCGAGGAGGACCTTTCGAAGCGACATCCGAGACGGTGACTTACCTGACTCCTACCCCACAGGTGTCAAAAGGGCATGCAGTTCTCACGGACAGGGGGAAGGTCAAGGTGGTGAGCTACTTGATAAAGGATGTCAAAGAGCCTAAGCCTGACGAACGAGACTTGGTCATGGAGGAGGTCCATATCCAAGATGATCCTGTACGGCTTCGCTGGAGGTTGAGAGAAAAGACACCACTGGCATGCATACAGGGAGAAGAGGACCTACAGAGGGAGGAGGATCGTCGAATGCTCTTCCAAGCCATCTATGAGGAGGAGGGTCACCTGTTGGGATCTGCTCCTAGGGAGGTTCCTCCGTTGAGTCGAGGCCTGGTTGCACTACGGCAAGAACAGGTGGCATCGACCCAACGACTTTTGGAAGACGAGATTCTCCAAACCCGGATCGTGCCCAACGATGAGGTGTACAAAGACCGGGAGCTGTGGCTGGAGGCCATTATGAAGGAGATCCAGTCCTTGGAGGGCAAGAAGGCGATTCGGCGACTGACTCCCGCAGAAGTGGCCTACTACCAGAGGGAACATGGAGACAAGGTGGAGGTGGTCCCGGGAAAGGCTATACATGCCGTCAAGGCCCCTGATGGACGTAGGAAGTGTCGCCTGGTGGTGTGCGGAAACTACCTGAAGGGAGCTGGAAGAGGGCCTGGAGATCGGTCGGAGGCAGCTCAACTCTACGCAGGTGGAGCGGACACTACATGCTTGAGGACCTCTTTGGCACTGGCTGCTACGCGGGGCTGGCAGGCAGCTAGCCTGGACATAAAGACTGCTTTCTTGAACGCACCTCTACGAACACTTCAGGAGAGCAGCCGGAAAAAAGAACCTCGCCTTGGAAGATGCTCATGGACGACCTCAAGAGGATCAAGAAGAAGATGGAGGAGGTCACGAAGGTCAAGAAGGGGTAACCACGGAAGAGCAGCAGGAGGAGGACCTCACGAAGAGGAAACGACTGGTGCTCATGCTTCCTCCGAAGATCCTCATTCGGCTGGGATTAGTGAAGGAAGGGGAAATGTGGTTGGTGGAGAAGGCCCTGTATGGCTTGCGTGAGTCTCCGAAGCTTTGGGGGGACTACAGGGACATCGAGATCAGCCAGATGTCCTTTCAGGCGAACTCCGTCACCTATGAGTACCAACAGAGCTTCGCGGAGGAGAACTTGTGGTTGGTGCGCCGGAAAGATGCCGGAGATGGAGACCAGGTTGAGGGACTCGCCTTGGTGTACGTGGATGATGTGATGCTCTTCGGCACCGAAGAGATTGTGAGGGCAGGGCTCCAGAGCTTTCGAAGGACCTGGGAGACGTCCGAACCTACGTGGGTGGGAGATCGTGAACCAGTTCGGTACTGTGGAATGGAGTTGAGCCGAACTGAACAAGGAGACTTCTTTGCCAATCAATGTTCCTACTTGAGGGAAGTGGTTCGGCGACATGGCATGGAGGACCTTTGCAGCGCTCAGATGATGAAGGAATCCCAGGAACCCGAGGATGAGCTGGATCGCACGCCTTTGCAGGTCCGAGAGGCACAACAACTCGGAGGAGAACTTTTGTGGCTAGCAACGAAGACAAGGCCGGACATTGCCTACACGGTCAGCCGAATCTGCTCAGCGACGAGCCGGGCTCCAAAATGGGCGATCCAAACTGCATACCAGCTGATCAGGCACTTGAATGCCACGCAGGGCCTGGGCTTGTGGTACCGAAGAGACGCCAACTTCATCCTGGAGTCAGTGAGTGATGCCTCCTTCGCTCCAGGAGGTGCTCATAGCCATGGCTGTGTGATCACGACGGTGGCCGGAGCACCGGTGGCATGGAAGAGCTGCAAGCAGCCGTTCCCCGCCCTTTCAACTGCGGAAGCCGAACTCATAGAAGTCATCGAAGCTGTAGTTGTGGGGGACAGCATCGCATGTCTGGTTGATGAAATGGCGAAGGACGTCCCGAAGTTCCTCAAGTGTGACAACACTGCTGCAGTCTCAATAGCGAGTTGTGCAACTGGAGCGTGGCGTACAAGACACTTGAAGGTCCGGGCCGCCCACCTCAAATGGAGAATCCAATCTGGTCAATGGGAGCTGAAGTACCAACCTGGAAGGGAGCTCATCGCGGATATCGGCACCAAGTCTTTGCCAGTGGCCCGGGTCAACGAGCTGAGGCAACGGATGGGAATGTCATGGCAGCCCGACTCAGTGGACGAAGTACATGAGGAGGACAAGGGCATTGTCGCACCGAGGGCTATGAAGTTGGTCGCGAAGTACCACTTGGAGAAGGCCATGAGGCTTGTTGTGGTGCTGTCGGCATTGAAAGAGGTGCATGGAGCCATGGCGGAGAATGTCACCAAGAATGCCGATGAGAATGTCGAGGGTGACCAGATCTTGTACCTCCTCAGCGTCATGATGATGTTGCTGGGAATGGTGCTCATGAAGGTCATTCAAAAATGCCGCTTGCATTGGAACCGGGTGGAGGACGATCCGGCGACGCGTAGAGTGAGGGTCTCTCGCTTGGCTGGTCAATCTTCTTCCGGGACAAGGACTTCTACCAGACCTCAAGGAGGAGGAGATCGAGAACCACGTCAACGTGATGGGGAATGGCAGCAAATGAACCACGGAGGGCACAGTGCTTCATCCTCATCACCAAGGGGTACCAGGATGGGTGGAGGCATTGAAGATGGACATCAAGGGAGACCGGATCCCGCGCTGAATGAGCCACAAGAGGAGCCGCCGAATCAAGCTGACCTACCTGGAGGGCATCATCTGCAGATCACCCTGACTGGGAGGAGGAGGCGATTCCCCAATGAGCCAACGTGGAAGATCTGGTTCGCGGAGTCCAGCAAGTGCTTCCATAGACAGCGGAGCTGCAGGGGATTGAGCAAGGCCAACCGAGTTCATGAACAGCCGGTGTGTGGAGCCTGTCAAAGGGCCACCAGAGGCCAGAGAAGTCTTCGAGAGACGAACTTCGTCTATGAGGACCAGCTCGGCAACTTCCACACCGATGCTCGGTGCAATGCGGTCACGGGACCGATGACTGAGATCCGCCAATGTAAAGTGTGTGGCGGTTGAAGCGGTTTGAGCCTACGGCTCGATTTTCGAATGCTGGTCAGATGCTAAACGCACGACCAGGGAGGAGTGCTGGTCCGCAAAGGATGACACGCACAAAACGAGAAGTGTACACTCGACAGCCGCTTTTATGCTCGAAAATAGGAGCGTTGAACCTTGCAAAAACAATGATTTGTTGGAATCCGCGGACCCCGGTCTAGGCACAGGAACGTGAGCGTGAGTGGAGCGGGGCCGGCGTGTTCCTGTTAAGGGATTCCAGTCAGCGGTGGGCCCAGTACGTCAGCCGTCACAACGCCGTTTCGTTGACATCGTTCATTTTTCTGGTTTGCTGGGGCCGCGAAAACATTTGTTCTCGGTAAAGGCAGTGTCCAGGCTTGGGTCCCGGGTTCGACTCCCCCCAAATGAAGCGTTTGGGACATGGCTTGGCGTGGCCCCTATCGATTTTGCAAGGTTTTGACCAATTCAGTATACTTACTTAAGGCGGCACATGACTGGAGTACATGTACGGAAGTTTTGTTGGATGCTCATATGTATATAATGGCCATCTTAGGTTGGAGGCCATCGCTCAGCGTCCCTCATACGCACTTTCTCGGAGCTGGCGACGCTCCGAGACTCTGTGGGGGGCTTCCTGATCTTTTCATGCTGAGCCGAGGTAACCAGCCAGAGCTGGTTTCTGCAGCGGAAACTTCTCCTGCGACCTCCCCGCGTCTCGAAGCTCCAATGATCTGCACGCCCCCCCCCCCCCCCCCCCCCCGCCCCCCCCCCCCACCGCCCCCCCCCCCCCCCCCCCCCCGGAGAAATGGCTGCCGCAAGCGGCCGCGAGCTATTCAGCTTTCTTCAAAGCCAGGAACCTCCGGAAGAAAAAAACACACACACACACACTTCTATCTTCTCGAGGTGAGAAATACAGGGGTGGCATGACAGCCACATGAATACAAATAGATCAAATAGATTGGAAAAAAGGGATAGGGTTCTACATGCTCGCATGCTCCGATCCCTGCTTGCAACTTTATGTTCAAGCATCACCTGGGTATGACTGCTACCATCCCAACCCTACGAATCCATCCAGCTGTTCGAATCAATCGTCCTCCCTCTTGGTTCAGGAAGTCGTCAACGGCTTCAAAGGAACCCGAACCATTCACCTGTTAGGACCAGTTCTCAGTTGAGTTTTGCAGCGCCCAAAGAACCCAAGGAACTTGCAGGCTCCACTCTGGTCGTTGAACCACCACGGGTCGTTGAACCGAAGCCGCCGCCCCGTCCCGTCCCTTGGTCTCCAGGTGGCACTGCCCAGAAAACGCCCGAGGTGAGCACACTGAAGGCCCAAAGCCTCGGTTTACCAAGCTGAAGACCCAACATAGATTGAAGGACTGTTTTTCAGGTCACGAACGAACTTGCGGCTCAACCAGCACGCTCGAGCTATGTCTATCACTATATGTCTGTCTGTTGCTTCCAAAACTGCTGCTCTGTTGCGCTCGCCCCTGAGTTGCCAGGCGCGTAGTTCGCAGGGTACCGGTCCTGACAGGTCTGGGACATCGCCCCGACTCCAGAGCGTGGCACCGACATCCACGACCCTTTTTCGTGGGGTTTTACGGTTTTTCTATCTATTTCGTCAAAAAAACAGTTTTTCGTTGGCTGTGTGGACCTTTCCAATCTAAAGTGGAGGATCTGGGTATTACCTTGGATCTACCAGGACCCAAAACAAAGGACATGTAACAAAATGACAACAAAAAAACAAACAACCTCTAAGACAGGCTTTAAACAAAAAACCTAGTTTCTGGCAGCACCCAGTTCGGGTGAGGTGGCTGAATATCAACGCCCCTGTATTCATTCAAAAAATGTTGCATATATTTCCCTCTGGTGTTGGTTTTCTCGTCGTGGACGTCAGTTTCCTTGCCCGAGCTCTTCGGCTCGGCCAGCGCGACGGGTGTTCTGCCAAACAGGGAGGTGTTCAAGATGTCCGCGGTTCCCATCGGTGGATCTGCCTTGAGGAGGACGTATCTTTCAGAACTCACTGGAATACATGTTTGAATGTTTTGAGTTGCTTTTATCTTCATCTGAATGATGTTGGAACACCTCCCAGCACAATGAAGGTTGAAAACAAGCGAGAACTATGATGGAAGGCTCCCTTTTGGTGATGCAGTGAATCAAACAATCATTTCAAAGGGCTTATGTAACTGACTTGTTACTTCTGGTTACTAAGACCGAGACCACTCAAAAAAAATGGTTGACAATTCCCTATAACATCCTACAATGCAACTACTAGCGCAAGATTCACGGTCTCAAATTCGCACCCCTAAAAATTCCCAGATCCTTCAGAAGAATCTTCACCACGCTCCTTGTAGCAGTTCAAGAGCAGCAAGGCAACGAGATTCACCACGCCGAACATGTAGACGATGCCCTGGACGCCGCCCAGATCGCGCCGTGCTCGACGCCCGTCGCGCCATTTCGCTCTCGCTTCGCAGACCACCTGCGCCGCAGGCCGCAGTCCTCGCGTCGAATCTGTGCTGCCCACGGGGCAAAAAGTCTGCGTGCGCGGCAAACGGCTCGGGCAACGCGCGCGGGGTCTTTTGGCGGAAAGCCACGGGGCATTACCAGGAGGGCCAGTTAAGAAAATCAAGTGTTGCCCCAGGGTAGTTGGATCACAAAGTGTCAATCGATATACGATATATTGTAATTTACAGAAAGCCAGATTGCTATGCCAAATCTGCACGCCCCCCCCTTAAGAAAGAAAAATCCACCTGCAACAGTGGTCTGTGGACCCTCAACGGTTGATTGCAATGAATTAAGTGGCCCCTGGCCCCTGTGAATCAGGAGAACAAGGGCCCCCACTGTCCAAGTGTGCTTCAAAGCGAAATCGAGGATAGTTGAGCCCGCACTGAACTCCTCCCACTTTGCATCACTTTGCCAGTCACCTCAGTCCATCCACGCGCGCATAACAGTCGGTCGTCGCGCGCCCTCGCGCCAACGCGCCAAGTCGGCACCTGGTGGAAAAAGTTCTCCATGCCCTCGGGCTCTGGGATGTGCTCGGCGAAGCCACTCATCCGCAAGGGCACCTGGGCGGCTCCCGTGCCGCCACGAACGGGCGCGTGGCGGTGCGGGGGGGTGCGAGATCCTTGAACTCATCGAACGTGTCCAGCTTGGAAACGTTCGAAAAAGAGTGTGTGTGTGTGCAACCCTTGGAGTCACAGGGATCCTTTCGGGTGGTTTTAGTTGCAGGTGACTTTGCAGGGGGCATGGCAGCTGTTTCCCTAGCCATGCCAACGAAGCTATGGGATTCAGCCGGAGGGGAATGTGGATGCACATTCCTGTACCTGCTTTGGTGTGATGTTCACAAGCCGTGACTCTCACTTTCTTTAACGGGCTAGTGCACGTGGCAAACAAGAGCGCACGACGTCATCTCGACCTGACCTCGTTGAGCTTGAGTTTTGGCCTTTAACTAATTAAAGGTACCCAGGCCCCTCTTTTGTCCTTTCAGAATTTTGGTACCTTAGGTTGCCGAGTGGCGAGCGGCATTCGAGTCAGTACGCATGTCAATAAGTGTGTGTCTCCTGCAAAAGATGCATCACACATCCCGGCAAATGACACCGTTTCTAGATCATGTTCCATCATTTTTCCTGTATACCACATCATCATAGTAACAAGATGTAACAAGGACGCTATTAGGTGGAGGCCATCGCAAGTAGGTTGGAGGCCATCGCGACTAGTAACAAGAAGCTACTAGTAACAAGGGGTCATATGGTTTGGAGAGATGATGGAGTCTAATCGCTACTAGTAACGAGAAGCTACTAGTAGCCAAAAGCGCAATCGTTTCACTGGGAATCGCTTCAGCTGTAGTACCTTAGAAGCTACTAACAAGGGGACGATGATGGAATCCAATCTACTTATGGCTTGGATCTATCCAGAGCTACCTGTAACAGTGGATTTTCCGCTTTGGTTCAGGCCTTGTTCAAAAAAAATGTTTTTAGCTTGTTTACTGACTGTTACAGGTCAGTTCGCACAGACCCAAGCCATGGCAAACCAGGTAATCGTCGGCATTGCTCCGACCGGGTCGAGTCTGCTGACTCGACTTGCAAGCGACTGGAAGGACCAAGAGTTCAGTCCAACCGGTGTAAACATGGTATGCCCCAGCTTCTTCAGTTCGTGACCTCTTTGGAGTGTCTAAGTAAGTGACCAACCAGGAACCAGGCCCGAAATTGTGACACCAGTTGGGATATCAAAAGGTCACGAACTGAAGAACCAGGCCGGTATGCAAAACAATGGTTCTTCAATTCTTCAGTGAAAAGCAGTCCATATGATAATCAGTATGATAATCATATGTAAGTCCTAGGACTTCTCCTTCTACCTCTCCCGCCCAACATCCACAAAACACAGGCGCCCGTAGCGATTTGGAGGGAGGAAACACACCAAAGGACCAGATTGACAACAACTCCAGGAGTTCTCTGGCTGACTCACTCATGGGGTGAGTCAGCTTAGATGAAGTCATGAAGTCAGCAGCGCCCGGCCGCACTGCACGGTCGGCCGCTCGGCCGCCAACCGTTTCCGTCGACAGCTGCAAAGGTCGGGTCGCGCCGCCCGGCGCCAGGGCACCGCGAGAAGGAGGATCAGAAGGAGCTGGAGCGTGATCAGGCCAAAGGTCTTCAAACGAAAGGCCCTGACAGCGTCTTCGACCCCGTTTTTGGGGCCCGAAGGGATCCATATGCCACATCCGTAAAAAAATGCAACGCTCTGACATCTATATGAAGGACCCTAAGGAGATGGTCAAGGGTATGCATAATGTGTATTCAAGGTTGGCATCGCAAGTCTTTCAATACTAACCAGGACCTTCAGTTCGTGATCCTTTGATATCCCAGGATGAGGTCACTTAGGTCTGTACAAGGTCACAAACAGAGACTCCAAAGAGGTCACGAACTGAAGCTCCTGGAAAGTGAAACGCCTTGCCAGATCAGATGCTAATCAACATCTTCCGTAGCCGCAGTAGAGTGTGTGTGTGTGTGTTGTCGTCGTCGTGTTCATGTGAGTGGTGGTGTTCTCTACTAAGCATCCATACGGTGGGTCCGCGGAACCTTTTACGTCATCACAACTCTTCAGTCCAATGCAGTGAGTCCGGACAAATCCCGAGCGATTGGCCATGTACGGGGCATCCAGAGATCTGATGTGAGGTCATGTGAGGTCAATAGAATGCTCTGTACAATCAGTCTTTCCAAAACATCCAAAAACACCGTTCCAATGAATCTGGCGACCTGCCTATAATTATGCAGAGGAGGACGTTCAACCTTTCAAATGCTGCTTTTACGCACAAAACATGTTGTCTCGAGGTCCAGTAGCAGCTAGATAGCCACTATCAGGCACTAGTGCACATCAACGTTGGTGCTCATGCAATCATCCCCAATGATTGTCTTGCCGGACAAGAACCAAAGCGACGAACATGCTCAGCACCAGCCAACCCTTCGATCCGTAGCACCAGCCTGGATGATAAAACACCACCCTGACCCAACCCAGTTTGTTGGGTGGTGGATGGTGCTAGTGTGATTATGGGTACTGCTGCTAGCTGTGCTCCCACTGGGCGCGTGTTGTGTGTGTCTTCCTTTCCAACTGCGGCAACCACCAACCACCACCCCAACCGTCCCGTCTACCGTCCCTCCCCCTGCACCACCACCCGGCACCACGTCACGGTCGTCCAAGCCACTCCGGTCCAGCTTACGACCGCGCCGCGGTCGCCCCGTCGCCTCTGCATGTAGCGGGGCACCTCGCCTGTCACGGTGGGATAGCGCCAGGTCGACCTGGCTGGGGAGTCACAGCGTCGAAGGGTGCGAGAACGGATGGTGGAGGACGGTGGAACGATGGGAATGGGGGAAGAGAGGTGGATTGGATGGGATTGGCACCGAGCTTTGAAGCTGACGTGAGCTTGGGAAGCGAAGAGTCAAGCCTTCGACGGGATTTGCCATCTGACTCAGGAAGTCTGGTGGTCGATCTTGATGGTTTTTCATGGTCCGATGACTGCCATGTCCTTTTTGCTGCAAAGGGTCATGCAAGAGGGAAAGCTGCAAAGCTTGCATGATCATCGAATACAACAACGAATCCACTGAATTGCCTTTTGGAGCAGATTTGCTGAATTCTTTGGGCACTGACCTTCACTCGGAGCGGCTCGGTCCCCGGTGTCTTTTCAGTTTTGTAGCGAAGGGACACCACACACAAATGTTGCGGCGTTGGGATTTCAATCTGGAAGTACTGGACCCCCTCACATGATTTCGGAATCTAGACTCTTGAGGACCATACACCGCCATTTGAACTGAAGATCCTCTGAGCCTCTGGGTTCTTTTGTGCCATCCTCTGAACTTGAAGCCCGTATCTGGGAATGGAAGACTGCCCCACTGCCCTTCGGATCTCTTCGGCCTCGCCCAGATGGGCCTGGCGCGAGGGAGGCGAAGCGTCCGCGGCGCGCGGCAAACGAAAACAGGCGGACGAAGGCGATGCGATGGAAGCTGATCAACAGTTTCAACACCCAGAAACTCCATGTATGGCATATTTACCTACATTGGCCCCTGAAACCACCCCATCCACCCCAATGGATGCAAATATGCCATTCATGGAGTGTGTTTTGACATGTCTGTTCAAGCTGAGAGTCCAACGAATTTCTTTGATCCATCCCACTGCCATGGAACTGGCCTTTTTACATGGGTGGTTGATTTCAAGGGTCAATGTAGGCATAGTCCAATCCAATGGAGTGTCTCTGGGCATGTTCATATATACACAAATCACACAATGTCGCACAGTTTATTTTAGTCAGGATATGTCAGGATAGATCCTAACGACTGCTTGAGAGAAACTAGTACGTAGCCACAGAACCTACCAATCAACACATGCATCTGTCTGTTTTGGCATGCAAGTCATACTCACCTCCCTCTACAGCTAGCTTCCAGGTCCTTTTGGTGGTCCTTTGCCACATCCCCAAACAACCCAAACCAAACAACCCAGCCTTTGCGCGAACATCGCCATGGCAGTGCGCGTGTGCCTCGAACCGACCCCCAGTGCAGCGCTTTCGGCGAAAGAAGCTGCAACGTGCCGATGAATCCTTCAAACGTTGGACACGCTGGGCGCCCAGCGAGAACAATGGCGCCTTGGCCAAGGGCCTAACTCCCTGATGTCTTGCAAGGTCGATCCCGAAAGAAGCTGGTACCAAGATATTAACAGCTTGAAAAAAATGTTGCTGAAACATATATATATATATAGTTTGGCTATATCCTATTACCAGGGCCCAGTGGATGATGATCATTAGGTTGCAGGCCTTCCTCTCAAAAATAGAGATGTTCGTTGTTGACTGACTGTTTCCTAGGACAAACTCAACATATTACAGTTTTCGTGGAAGCTGGGATGGCTCACATCTCTATCGTCTCTTGCCAGCTCTGACGCGCCTCCGAAACCGAGCCCTGCTCCGTGCCGGTTGAACCGAAGTGATCTACCCTCCATATCGTCTAGCCACTGGCCACTGGTGCCAGGCCCCAGCTCCGATGTGATTCGTACAGGAATGGTAGACCGGTAGACCGTGACCACCAGGCCTCACCACTAAAACAGAGTGAGCCCACGGTCGGACCCGTAACCTTCCAGTGACCTTCCCGTGGCCCGGAGTTCGCGCAACACGGTCGCCCGGTCCGGGTGTCCCCGGCTCGAGGTCGATGCTGTCAGTGCTGGCCTGGAGGACGAGGAGGAGATGACGGGTTGTTGCTTTTCATGATGGATAGCCAACTCAGTCTGGATTTGGTGCTTATAAGGCACCCTTCAAAGCCTTGGGCCTTGATAAAGGATACAGTATGGTTCATTGAGATGTTAAAAAAAGAACACCGATGTGTTGATTGATGTTGATTTCTTTGCCCTCTCAGGGAGTGATGTCAATAGATTCTTTCTGTTGGACCTCGCCTCACTTGCTAACCTGAATCCATATCGGGGCCACCAACCGTACATCGAGACAACCGGAATTTGTTTGTGAAACTGGCCGCCCGTTGACCTAGCAAAAGACGGAACTTGTGGATTTGAAGCACACCAGCTCTCGTTCATACCCACTCCAGTATGGAATAATATACCTGCAAACCCCTCAAACCAATCCAGAATGTCAGTGAACATGCCATGCAATACATGTCAGCCACGGAGTGTCTGGTTGTTCTTTTCTTGTTTTTCACCATGTAGATCTTGTTCTATTCAGGTCCTATTTCAATCTGCTCAGGTTTCAATCTGTTCTATCATGACCTTCTTCTTTCCCCCATCTTTGTCCTCCTTGACTCGCTTCCACAACAGCGCCTGCCGCTCATCTACTTCAGGCCTGTTGGGCCTGTCATGCAGCGAAGATGCGGAACATGCGGAACACGCAGACCGACTCCGAGGAAGGGTTCAAATCCAAAACTAGAAGAAAACGCTTCCAGCACACTCCAACAGGTCACCACCTGCGACTTTTAAGTCACGCAAAAAGCCTCCATTTCGGAGACCTGTAGAGTCGGGTGCTGGTTGGAAGTTGTTGCTATGTGAGATTAAGCAAGAACCGCTTGTTCCAAAGTTGTGCAACATCGCTGCGAGGCTGAAAGGCTACGCCCTCTTGCAACCACGCAAACTAGTTTGATATGAGGCGAGAGAATTCAATTACATCTAGGCCTGTTGAAGGAAAGTCATGTTTTGGTTCCAGTCAGAGGACTAGCCCTTTCTGTGTTTTGGAAAGTGAATCCCTATGCCCGATGCATTCACGCAGGAGGAGCAGTGGATCTTGTCCCACATCCACTCCGCCCCCCCCTTCTCTTCCGAATCAACGACGATATCATAACGACACCTACACTGACACGCTGCATCAAATCCGTACTGTAAGCCGTGTACCCAGTTATATATGCAGTACGGACTATAACCTAGTTTAACTTAGGTTTTGTAATCCTCCATAATGTTTCTCATGATGGATTAAACTCCCTCACATCACCTCTTGGCCGCGGTCCAACGTGGCGGACACAGCCGTCTGATGTCCAACTCGGTCTCGACCCCGTGACCGGGACGTCTGCCATTCGTTTCGCTCGGGAGAGACACGCTTGGAGCGAGCGATACCACCCCGGAAAGGCAGCGTGTTTCGTGGGCGTATATCGCTCGTTCGGTGAGCGATCAGAAGTGGTAGTTGGTGGATTTGGAACTGGGCTCAGGATGTTTGTATACATGGTCTATGTTGAAAAATACCCTAACACTCCAGACTGGCATGGACTGGCATATTTGCCGATCAGTTGAGATGGTTGACCTGGCGTATCCTGGGGTCCATGTAGGCGGTATACTAGGCGGTATATAGTCCAATCCCGCAGGTCGTGTCTGGGTTGGAGGGTCTTAGGTTGGACGCCATCGCTAGTAGGGTGTCTTTGTTCTTTCAGTGTCCTAGAGCCGACCAAAACCCGGGCCACTCCGTGCCGAAGAGCGCGCCTAGGCTGAGCAGGCACCACCTGCACCTGCAGTGCGGAAGTGCGGAAGTGCGGCGAGTGGCTGTGGGTGGCACCAGGACACCCAGCTTGACCACGGAAAATGAAGAGAACAACTGTAATTCATCAGTAATCAGACCTACCAAGTCAACCCCACAGCTGACAGATGGTAGGGTCGCACCAGAATACATCAAACCTGTGGGTCATGACCCTGGAACCTCAGCTAGGTGAAGCCACAAGGGTTTGGGGTTCCAGGAGCCATGACCGTGAGTGGAGCCACGTGGGTTTGCTTCTCGACTCTCTTCCAGAAAAACCAGGAGCCTCCCTAGCCAAAGAAGAAACAGGAAGGGGATGACAGACATTCCGAAGGAGTTCGGCCATGCCATCCACTTTCATAGTTATTTCAGTGCAGCTCTGCTGGCCCCCACAGCTAGCGCCGGCCTCACTGTCTGCGGTCTCATTCTCCAGCTCTCCACGTTCAAGGCCTCAGTTCTTCAACTCAAGGCCTGGGATTGCTCAGGTTGAAGGAATAGACATCCTGCACCCAGCAAACGCCCAGTTGACCATCAAGAACAAAGGTCTTCACATGCTACCAAGAGCTGCCACACATTGGCTGCCCCAAACTTCACGTCGATTCCAGAGATTTCAGCTCCAAAAACGTGGGGAACATCTGACAAGACGAGGGGGAAACTGAATACACATGGACTCAAAAACAGAATCCGAATCCCGCCGATGGTGCAGAGATGCACTTGAACACCCTGAGTGGTGTTACACTGCTTCATGTCTCAGGCACCGAGTGACGTCCCCCAGATGTGGTTGAAACCAAGTCGCGTCCGATCGCTCCGTTCGAGTCGCGAAATGCCCGGTCCTGGCTCCGTTCGAGTAGCGTCCTCTCCGTTCGTCGTCATGCATGGCACAGGTGGGTCGGAGCTGCCAGATCGAACATCGGTGATCTGGATGGTTTGCAAACCCATTCAAAACAGATCTATGGAGATCTGGATGTTTCTTCTAACCATCCACCTGTGATCAAACCATCCACCTTTCTCCCACTTCGCTCGCTTTTCTCCCCCGTCCGGGGCTCCCCCACGCTCCTCCACGGAGCCTTCAGCCTGGTACACACGACGACTAGCTCGGCATAGCTCGGCGACGGGTGTTTGCGACTCCAGTGGTGCACTTTCTGTGTCACTTTCAGTCGTCGCGGATACCCTTTCAACCTTCGAATGGTGCGTTCCATGTTAGTTCGGTGTATTCTCTTCGTCCCTGGAGGTGGGACAGAATGACCGTAAAACAGCAGCCAGTGTCGACGAGTGCGTCAAAAGAGCAATAAAACAATTCATACCAGGACCCTCCTGTCGGGGTGTCCTGGCTGGACTACCCCACACTACCTATAGGCTTCCATTGGGCACCCCGACAGGAGGGTCCTGGTATACATAATTACAGATCTTAAATCTGATCCTGCTGGGCCATGGTGATGACGTGTACTAGGTCAACAAAGATCCCAAGGACGAGTGTTTCTGAACCGATTCAACTTGAATCGTTCAAACCACCATCAAACGGAGGAACATGCACAGAAAAACCAACGAGGGCCTAGGGGTGGTCCCAAACCGGTTCCAAAGGGAGCAAATTACAAATTAGTCCTTCTGTTTGAGGCTCTTTGTCACGCACCTCATATCAATTGATGACCACCTTCGAAACCGCCCCATCTCGCAGCCTCGACCTCCAAATGGCCTCAGCGCGGATGCCGCGTGCTTAAGGCCCTTCGGTCCGTAGAAGAGCCGGAAGAAACGAGACATCGCCCAGGCCAACCACAGGACGTTGGGTCCAAACCACTCCATAGGACCTGCCAGGACGGACTGCCCCAGACAGACCCCCAGTCAACCACCCCAGGTGATCGGCAGTCCGTCCCAGTCCCAGACAGGTCGTGTCTGGGGATGGTTTGAAAGGGGGGTCGTTGTATGGGGCTTTCTGCTCCCCTCCAGTCCCACGCACCGTCTGGGCCCGCCGATGGCTGGGTGTGTTGAAAAGGACGGAAGGCCAGGCCGAAGACATGGACGGAAGGCCAGATGTTCATCGCAGCGAAATGCAGTCCCCAACGAGTGGTCTGCGGTCTGCGTTTTTCTGGGTCGAATTGACCTTGGTTCGATGCCCGTTTGGGCTCCTGTCCCATATCCTCAGGTTCGGTGGTTAGACCCCCAAAGCCCACCCCAACCACTTTCTCAGGAAGCAGTTGGAGCCCTAGGGATGGATGGCAAGTGGCAAGGTTGTTTGTAGGTGTCCAACGAATCACAGCTGGAAAGCAGATCCCCATAACCTACTCGGGATCCATCGGCGGTCGATTCTTGAGTTGGAATCTCAACATGCATCTACGGCTTTCGGCCATCTCCTCTATAGTCACTGATGGGCCTATATGGGTGTGTTTTTTTTACCGTAGTCGGGCCGGGAAGTTTGAATAGGTGGTATGATTTGAGGGTATGGTTCGGGGTATGATTCGGGGGTATGATTCGAGGGTATGATTCGCAGATGATTCGCAGCTTTGAAGTTGTATTGTTGGATTAGTTGGACTTCCAGCAGTGGGCCCACTCTGCGCCGAGGCAACAGGCAAGCAGCATCTGTTGGATGCTGGGCAGACTAGGCAAATGCACTCTTCCACCAAAGACCCCAGTGGCCCTCTGCAGGCCCCACCAAAACAACCAGGATGTGAGATGGGTGGGAAACTGTGTGGAGGTGCGTGATTCGGGTATGAATCGGGCATGAATCGGGTGTGATTCGTATGGCCATTAGATTCTGCAAAAGAAGGCGGTCCTTTGGCTCTTCCCAAGGGAGAGCACATGGGAACATTAGGAGTACCTCTGGGATGTGAGCCTTTGCTCTTCCCACAACAAGACAAACAATTTTGGCCAAATTGAGTGCCCATGGATCGCACAATTGCAGCCGTCATGCACCATTGGCTCATGGACATCTATATACAAGGCACAAAGACCAACCAAAAACTTCACCTTAACACCTGGTTCTTACCTGTACCTTTTTGAGGGGTATGATTCGGGGGTATGATTCGGGGGTATGATTCGAGGTATGATTCGAGGGTATGAATCGCTCAAGTCGAACTTCCAACCACTACATCAGGAAGTACACGCCAAAAAAATACAAACCCATATGGACCTGTGCCATCATCATCCAAACCTCCAAAAAGGTATACGTTCCATGCGCCATCATCACGTTGGATGGAAGCGGTCAGGAAGTGGTCTTATGCGCGGCCCGGAAAACCTTTGTCCATGTTCCTCTAACGAAGCCCTAGGCTTCGAAAACCATGTTTAACAAAGGTCTTTGACATGAGACCTATTAATCCTGGTGAAGCGCCTGTCTTTGATCACTGAGGCCTGTCTTGAAGGCCTTTGGGATGCGCCCAGGTGTTCCTCGGAGGCTCTACTCATGGCTCTATTTCACGGCTCTCTCTCTCTCTCTCTCTCTTGAGGTCCGTGAGACACTGTGGGCGTTTCTCAGGACATGGCTCTATACTCGTGGCGCCGCGAGTTCCGCGCGGGGCGCCACGTGTGTGTCTCACCGGTTCTCGCCCAAACAGAACTCTTCTCTGGGTGCGCCGAACGGGAAGCTGATGCCTGCAGTGCAGGTGAGGTGTGCAAAATGTTAAAAAAGAAGGCCTCGACTCAGAGGAAAGGGGGTTGCCAAAAACAACTATAGGTGACGAGCAACTGCTCAAGCCTTGCAACATCTCAGATCTCAAAACATGGATCATGACCTCATCTGTGTCAAATCGTATACGAATCCGTTGAACCGTACCCATCTCCACGTTCGATCTCGGCTTTCAATGGAGATTCCCCCCCCCCCCCAGCAAAAATAACACGCCCGAAGAGAGTGCTGTTTGTTTCCATGGCTGGCCGAGCTCGGGGCGTGGACACCACTCATCCTCCGATCTCATGGGTGGATGACCAACACCAACAGAGGCCTTGATTCACCGCTACGACATGGGGGTTTTAAAGGTTTGGTTCAGGTATGGACCCCTGCTTTTAAGAGGCCCAAGGATTCTTAGGCGGTTGCAAATGGCACAGGACCGAGACCAGTGGTGTCCTAGAGTCGCTCCGAGACAAGGCTTAGCATAACAAATGCTCCCCAGAAGCAATGTCTCTGAGCACCCTGGAATATCCTGGAATTGAATTTAAGATCATTGAAGGCGGGGGGGGTGACCAGTTAAGACTCAATCAGGCAACATGAACAACACCCACCATTATTGGACGCCGGTCAACATGGTCAACCGACACCAGGGACCGGTCGACACGGTTGGGCGGGTTCGCTTCGGACCTACATCGCACGACCGGTTATGGTGGTGGGTCCCTTAAGGTGGTGCCATGATGTGCCACCCCATGAAGCATCCACCCTTCAACCTTCAACCCTTCAACCCCTTCAACCCTTAAGCTTCCACCCCTGAAAAACCCTTCGAGTCGTCGTCAGCCAGGTCCGATTCAGTGGTCTCCAGAGATGGACCACATCGGACGACGTACGACGCGGTGGACCCGGAGGTGACTGACCCCCGCGGAGCCGCCGAGGAGCCGTGGTGTTACTCCATCGTCCCAGCGATCTCACGAGGGCTAGGGATGGTCCAGGGATGGCAGTGAAGGCTTGTCACTGGTTAACTAGACTTATTTTTCCACGTGAGTCATGGGTTTTGTGGATGGCATCTTGGAGGAGATCATACCAAACAACTACCAAACAGTTGGTGATGTTTCATTCCACTTTCCAGTCATAATGATGTCAGATGTCGTGTCAGGCATCCACTACTACACCAAATCCAGTTCCTTCTAACCACGCGCTGTGAAACGACCGTCCTCTCCAAACCTGCCTTTTCACTGCTCGACCTTCTTGCCCCGCCACCCGCCACCCACGACCGGCGACCTCCATAGAGATCGGTCGAAAGCCACCGGGCACGGCGAGTTCACCTGCGATCGGAGGTTCCGGGAGGACGGAACCTTCATGCCACCCCTAAGCATCCGGACAATCAAACAGATATATATATATATAGGCTAAGGGTTTTGAGGGGCCCGGGAAATGTCTGGTGCAGTGGAGATTGACTTGTGCTTCCGATTTCGGGAGGGTGGCTGGATCCGAGTCTCATCATTTTGGAGTTTCTTCCCGAAATTCCCTATACTAAGCACCAGTCAGAGGCACATGGTCACATTGAATTCAGATGGGGCTGTGCAACTGTTCCTTCTCATTCCTTCTCACTTAGATGAGGTGCTGTGGCTGGGCAGCTGGACGGACCGGTGTCATCGCCCCTGACTCTGAACATCAAGAGTCTGGAACCCTGCCAGTGGTCAATGACCAATATGAGTGGACCCTCCAGAATCCGTACCGGGCTGTCCCCAAACATCGCTCGCGGCCGAGGCGTCGCAGCGTCCGTGCAATGCGAGAAACCCAAGCGAGTCGGGCGGGTCTCTGTTGGAGTGATCTACAAAGACTTGATCATCACAGCTGCTAAACCTGAAGGAGTCATGAATGGTGTTTGTCTGCTTTCCAGGACCCTCCTGTCGGGGTGTCCAATGGACTACCCCATACCTACCTATATAGGCTTCCAGACAGGGCACCCCGACAGGAGGGTCCTGGTTCACATCTTTGTTTCTGTTTTATGTCTTCCCTTTCAGCCCCATGTTCCGCCCATTGCTCCGTCCATTCAGATAGTGTCTGTTTCCGCCCGCACCTCCAGCAGCGCCTCCAGCGGCCAAGGACCACAAAGCCACACGAGCCACCAACGGCACCAAGCACCGAACAATGCAGGTCCAGAGGACACGTCATGGACTGGTCGCCAGTAAACAAGCCGATAGACAAATTGACCCCCAAGAGAAACAAACTTAGAACATGTGTTTTTGTTGTGTTTGCGGCTGACATGGTCCTTGGCAAAAAAAATCGATTGGGTTGTAAGGCATGCCACATGCCACGTGGCAGTTGTCCAGCCCAAATGGACTGGGACAATGAATGAAATATAGCTAAGGGATGCTAAGACACCCTGGATTGGGTCCATGAAAAAGGATTCGGATAGGCTAGTGCGGGTGTCGGATCCACCAAATTCCGCAGGTTTCAAGAATGCCTCGATCCCGGGGACCCGGACTGGATTGAGTTTATTGGGTCCTCAGGATCGTCTAGCCCCATGACTTCGTTTTCGGTTCTTCCTTGGACGATTGAACTTTAAAACATCGATGTTCGAGGGATGAGTTCCTCTAAACAACTACCATCATGAATATCCAAGACTCATATTTTGCAAGCCAAGTGCAATGTTTGGGACGATGTGACCTCAATCCATGTTGGGCATCAGCTCAGGTTCCTCAAACTCAGCATGTCCGCCTCCGCCCCGCCCCATCGCCCTTTGCTCTGCGTATGCGGCGGTGCCTGACGCGTCGGGGGCGCGACCGAGGAACGCACAACAGCGCGGCCCAGTCACGGAAGGTCGTAAACAGTCATCCTAAGCAAGGAAAATCATGCTAAACAGCTCAAACTACACGGAAATGCTCATTTTTCCGAGATAACCCAACAACTTTCCAACAGCATCGCCATCGAACAAACAGCGTCGCCGTCGAACAGAAACGACGCTGAAGAATCTGGCGTGGATGGAAGCTAGCCTCAGAACAGAAAACTAAAGGTGGGTATGGTCCATATGGTTTCAATTTGGTTTTTGTATTTGGCCGGTACTTTTTCTGAATCCTTGGTTTCGAAGGATCATTGGCCTCATCATTGCCTGCGAATGGAAGGTGTTCGATGGTTTTTCCTGTCCAGAAACTTTGCCACGACCTCTCTCTTACCTCTTCACACAATCACATTTAGAGGCTGAAAAATGACCTGCTGGGGTCCTCCCTCATCTTCCGATGAACTTGCACTTCCAAGCCTGGAAGCATGCACCAAGCAAAGCCAAGCCCTAACCTCCATATTATGTTGCACCTCCCTTCACAGATTATGTTCCCCACGCTTCCCCCCATTGCCCCTCACTCTGTCGACGTTGCACTCTTTGTGTTTTCTATATTGACTTCTCTCATCTCCTCTCCCAGTATTTGGTCTAACACATCACGGACCGGGCCGCACACGAATCACGACGCCTACGGTGAGACACTGAAAATTGGCAAAACTGGGAACTGTCAGAGATGTTGGAAGCTAGCCTCCCAAGACAAGCTGTTCATTGAAAGCTCCAGCAGTTCGCTCATGGCAGGAAAAAACATGGGGATAATGACCGACCAAACCTTCCCTTGCCTTGTCTTCATTGGCCTGGGGAGACTATCTTCTTTGGCATTCTTTTCCCTACAATAGCATGTCGAGAAGTTGCACGCTGGCAGTTGAGCAGGTCTGAGTCAATCTATCCTGACAGTTCCTCAGCCCAAGCTAGCCGGAGCCGTCAGCGGTTATGGACCGTGGCCACCAGCATAAAGGCCTGCCCCAATGGTCGAAACGGAACAACCTTGGAAGCCATCGCACTATTAGGTTGGAGGCCATCGCTAGTAGGGTGGAGGTCTCGTCAAGGGTGGTTCTATTCTGTAGCGCCAGTTGAACCCACCAGCGGTCCTCAGTATTCTGGGCCACCAGCGGTTCGAACCTGCAAGAATAGTGGTGATATAGCTGCTGCTGTAGAAGCCCTGGTTCCACAACGATGTCCCATGGAAAACAAATTAACCTTTTTCCTTCTGTTCACATTACTTGGTTATGAAACTGACTGGGTCGGGATCCTCTTGCTCTCTGAGTGGATTTTAAACTGCCATTTGTAGACGCAAACAGGCCCATGATGCTTATATTTGCTGTGTGCATCCATATTGCGAAGTTCTCCGGACATGCAAAATCGATTATATTTGGCGATTGCCTAAAGACGACTGTTCTGGTCATTGTCCTTTGCAGTGCTTGACATCTCAACCATTCTCAGTCCCTAAAAATCTTGAACACTTTGACAACGGCCTAAGAGCGCACCCCTACTTCTTCCCAGCCATTCACATGGCATACGACTTGCGTCGGCCCTCGCCCCTTCTTCCGCGACCGTTGGCTCCCACCGCGTCGGGCGCCTGGTTCACACCGAGGTAAGGGAAGACCAGAGTCAACCTGGTTCGCTCACGTCGTCCATTCCGATTCTTTCCCGCTGCGACCGAAGGGGAATGGAGGGCGTCCACCAACCCAATGGGGGCACCGGAATTGAGAGACCCACGAATCCATGTACAGTCTGTATATATACTTATATCATCTTATATCTGCTTAAACTTACAGTATATCTGTATATCCATGATGGGAATGGCATCTTGACCTATCTTGTTGACCTGGGGTCAATCTATACGTAGGTCAATCTTGCCTTTTGAAGTGGGTTCTAAGGGATAGAGAGAGAGATGAGATCCCCCGGACCAATGGATTCTGAACCCATGTCGACTAGTCTTCCCAGGTTCCATCATGATCCGTCCATGGAAAAGTTTGGAGACACGGAGGCAACATAAGAGACACCATGTCATCAGTTGCTCCGTTCGTAGCGATGCCAGGAGCCCCGATCGTAGCGTCCGATCGCTCCGTTCGTAGTGATGCCAGGAGCCCCGATCGTAGCGTCCTTGCTCCGTTCGTAGTACGCTGTGATGGGACATCCATGGACTCCGTGTTGTGTCTTTTTGATGATCAACACACCACATCAGACTGACCTCCAATTCCTCCACTCTCAACTCTGCATGCACGTCTATCCAACTTGCCATCCTTCACCGATCAACACACCTCATCCTATCTTCGTGAGGTGTCATGATGTCCCATGGATGCACCACACTTCCGTCCCTGACTCGCCCTCTTCCCGTGTCAAACCCCCGGGGGCTTATGGTGCCCTCGACCCGGTGGCTTCGGACCGTCTCCGGGGACGTTGCACCGGTGGTGCTTTTCGGGTCGCTGCACGGGTGTTCCTCTACCTGGAAGACGGTGTTCCTCTACCAACCAGTGGTTTTCAACCAGTAGTCGGACCAGTGGTTTTCAACCTGGAAGACTGTGTTGCACCAGTGGTCGCTCCTCTACCAACCTAGTGGCCCATGTGAGTTTTCCACGGAGTCGTCTGAATTCCAGGACATGCGGCAAGGGCATGGCGATCATCCAAGCAGGACCCAGCCACTTCAGGAAGCCGGTGACCTACAGGAAGCCGGTGGTCGGCTGATGGGATGCGACGTCATCGTCGAAGCGAGGTCACATGGTCGTCAGTCTGTTTCAATGACGGCGAAGCACTGTGCTTCCAAAGAGCCTTACCTGTAGTAGCGACTTTTGTGAGGCTAGTGGTGGCCTGCAAGAAAAATGGAGCTGGTGCAGCAAGAAGAAACCAAATATAGCTACCAGCGTCTTCAGTTCGTGACCTCTTTGGAGAGCCTTTTCGTGACTGTTTAGAGGCCCGAGATCGTGACCTCAAACTGGGATATCAAAAGGTCACGAACTGAAGAACCCGGTATACTGATCTTTTTGCTTCTGCGTTCTCCGGTCCAAGAGGCCTAAGAGGACCTTGGACGGTGGAAGTGACTGAAAGCCTGGCTCTCTTCACTTCCACCGTCTTCCATCCTTCACTTCCAAACACTCACAGACCCAAAACGCTGGAACCCAAAAACTCCGCCGTTCAGCGCCGTTCAACGAACCAACTCTCTGCTCCCCAAAAGGGGTTGGGCATTGGGCCAATTGGGCATGGCATGGCTTCATTTGGCACAGCAAGATGCAGTCGATCCAATCGCTGCCCGGATCGACACTTCGGCGCTCTTCTCCGATCTGATTCTTCGGCCCCCCAGCGAAATCATTCAGAATCAAGTCGTGGAGCAACAACTCCCACCAACCCAGCGTGGTGAAGGCCTGGCGGCTACTGGGGCGGCAGGGAAAAACGGGAAGGGCTGGCAGCGTCACGGAATGCTTTTGAATTTGGTGATCTCCAAGCTGTCACGTCTTACACTCTGACTCACTAACGAAAGAAAAGAGTGGAATATATTAGGTCACGCAAAAGACATCAAAAGACCCTTTGCGACGATTTGGCTGTACGAACCACGCTGCTATTCCACTTCCATGGAATGTGAGTCGGAGAGTACGTCTTAAAGTTTTCTTGCTGGCCCGTTCTGTCCTAGTCACGAAGGACACATTGGCAGTCACAAAAGTCGCTGTCAGCGTTTTCTGAGGTCTTTTGTTGCTCAGGTCTCGACGTGGGTGTGGGGGGGGGAGTGCTGAGCGAACGGAGTTTCTTGGCATGAGCAGAATGGTGACTTTCCAGCTCAAACGTGGAAACCGCTGGTGGACGAATGAAGTTGAATAAGAAAAGCCACCCTACAGGATATTTACAGGTTCGGTTGAAAACAGTCAAGCTTCCAAGTGACTTCTTCAAATATCGCCCAGGTCCCCCCTAGGTACGCCCTCCACACCTACATCCCCCAAAATGTTCTCCCTAAAAAATGGGATTTCTACCAGGAGTCACGTGGTTTTGGGTCCCCTTACGTGAGTGGATGTTCTGGGGACCCCGAAATCCTCCAAGTCCGGCACCCCGTCTTGTGACTCCTGGTATGCTATAGCCTTCAAACTCCTCGTTCGCGCCACACAAAACGTCCGCCCGCCCGGCGTTGACGGAAAAATCGTGGTCAGGACGCGTGACGCGGATGTCTTGCTACGCCTGGTACCAGGACATCGAGGACGCCAGCTCCTGCGTCATCGTGGTCTCTCCGACCCACAGGTAGGCGCCTGGTCCGAGCGTCTTCGCGTCCGGCGTCCGTCGTCGTCTCTCCGACCACGAGCGAGGACGCGAGCGAGCAGGTGAATGAGAGGGGAAACGCTTGGCTCCGACAAAGAAGAATTAACCATACTTAAGGCCAGGGCCCCAGGGTCAAGACTACCAACTCCAAAGCATGGTATGTTTGTTGTGGACTCATCTCAACGATTCCATGATGAGTGTCAATAGCGGGTGACCCTTCTGTATGCTATATCCTAAGCCCGCAGTCTTCACCTCCGGCTTCCACCTCTGAACATGCTTGAAACCCTAGGTCCGCTCCGTTTTTGCGAACACGGAGGAGAACCCATTCATTCCACGTACCGCTCCAACCGCGCGTCACCGCGGCCGGCCGAGCTCCGGACAGGGATGCAAGACGTCCAGCGCGATGACGGTAATGATGATCAGCGAGGTCAAGCCGCCTGCCCCCAGGACAGGGGAGGTGGGTGGATGGAGGTGGAGGATGGCCCAAGAAAAAGGTGGCAGCTGGCAGTGAACCTTTTGAGAGGTTCATTGATGTGGATAGTGCCAAGTGGAAGGCCCTGGAAATGCCCCAACTAGGAGTCCCTTCCTGGAAGTTGGATGAATATCATGAATACCTCCCACCTCCAACGGCTCAGCCTCTTAAAGAGGTCTCACCAGGTTTGGAGGCAAAAGAGCTCGGCCCTTCCCCACAGTCCGCCCAGAAGACCGTGCAGGAGGACCTGGCTGGATCGGGAGACCGATCGAATTCCATTCACAGCCTGGACACTCCATGGGAAACCTGCTTTCAAGGCATACAGACAGTCCTACAATGGAGTGCCTGAGCACTACTACAAAGGTCCTACCAACATGCCTCCCCGCGGTCGATGTCGCAGGTGGCGCCTTCATCCAGGTGACCGGTCCCACAGAAATAGACCCAAGCGACCACCGCGAAGATCTCGAGCAGCAGGGTCCAGTACTTGACCAAGTAGACCGCGATCTTGCCTGAAAGGAGGTGGAAGTGGGTGGGTTGTTGAAAGAAAGGACACAACTTGTGCAACCTCTACAATAGACTATAGATTGTGGGATTCCTTATTTGCCTATGGGCCTATGACTCACTTAAAGAGGAGGAACACCCCAATAAAACCCCCCAGACACATGGAAACCAAAACCTGCGCTCCCTTGGATTGGCAAGCCATGGGATCCTCAACCACATCCACAACGGCCATGTTTCAATACGTTCAATGAATTGAACGTATTGTTTGCAATACAAATCTTAAGGAGGATAGCAAAAATATGACCAATGAATCTCTAAACCACCGAAAAAGAAAAGTGATATTGGTGAGGTATACCGATGTAAACAAGTTCATTCATCATCCTCTGGGTCTCTCGAACATGCATGTCAGGGAAAGGGTGGTCTCAGGTTCTCATATCAACTGTTGGCGGGCATTTGTTGATCTTCTTTGGTAAGTTGACATGGCAATGCAAAGAAAAAAATGATGGACACCGCCCAGTGGCGCCCAGGGCCCAGCACATTGGATATTATAAAGGGAACATCATACCGTGCGAGTCGGTGTGGGTTGTGGGTTGCGTTCGCACGTGCCCTAGAAAGGACGTGAGCGCCGGACTCGTGGAACACTGTCAGGACTCGTGCAAACATCACAGTCCAGACTTGGGATCAACAGAAAGCAAAAGCAAGTCGCTGATGGGTGGATCAAAAGCAAACATCCGCCACAAAGCTGGACTGCAAAACCTTGGTTCTGTTTGGATTGCCAAACGCTCCAAATCACGGCGTGGTGAAGCGGTGTGTGCTTCACCGATGGACACAATATGGAATACCAACCGTGGCCCGCTGTTGGACACTGGGTCACGAATGCACCGGCTTGCACCACAACCCTACGGATCACCACGGATCCCTATGAATCATTGAGTAGCCTTCTGTTCTTGATTACATACCCCTACCCTGGGAGTCAAAGACCATTAAAACAATGGTTGACCTGGTTTTTGTATTGTAAAATCCTTAGTTGATTGGGTAAAGCCTATTAAATTAATGGTTGTTGGAAGCCTAGGGCCTACACCTCCAGTCGTACCTTCTCAGGTTCGGCACGACTGGTTCGCCCAAACGGGATGAGTCTTGAGGCGGGACGTGTATGGACTGGTCCCGACTTCTCATCGCTGAACTTCTCATGGACGGCAGGTCGTAGGCATCGGTCCCGAGAGCTACGTCTCGTTGTCGTAGGCGTCAAGAACCGCTCACGGTTGCCCCTGTTCACTCTGTGTATGGAGTATACGACCTGCCTACACTGAACCCCTTGAACATCCTGAAGCCATCCCAATGTCCAAAGTAGGTTCATATTGCCATACATGATCATACATGATGTCTCACATCCCAACTGGCCACTGGCCGGAGCTTTTGGTCAACCTGCCACCCTGCGCTTCCCGCCCACTCTGCGATGAGGTACCGTTGCGGTCCTGAGCAGAAAGTGCGAAAGCATCAGCTGGCATCAAGGGAGGTACTAGCAGCTAGCAATCATTATACCTAGCTGCTTTATAGCACAGCTGCAAATATTATACTGCTCAGCAGCAGTAACCCAGCAACTGAGCATGACTTTACCCACGCTTTCTGTTGCCCTTGCCGGCTTTGCAGTATATCTGACGTGTGGAACGCATCGCCTTTTGCCTGAGTTGGTCCTCACTGATGGGATTGGAGATGTTGAGAGCCTCATATGCCTGGCACCATGCCTCCTACCCTGAATAGTTAGAGTGGAACAGAGCTACTCCCATCTTTGACCCAAGAAAAGATCTGAGTCTTCAGAGATTGGCATTTGAGTTATAGCGAGAAAGTAGGGATGGCTTCCACTTGAAGATAGCATCTGATCTTGAATTGCCCGGCCATTCTGAGGCTGTACACCTTAAATCAGTTGTAAACCTCTTCATCACCTCCCGGAAGTCATCCAGACATTGATTTTTAAGCAATCCAAACATGAACATGACCGGAAACCGATCCTAAGGACCGGACCAGTGCAGTGCATTGATCGGCCCTGAGAGGTTCAGTGCACATCTAGCTCTCTGGTGGCCCTGCTCTGGTGACCTCTTCTTCATGAAACGGCATGAGAACCAGAGAAACGTTGCCAGCTTCTTCCAGCTTCTGCGCGGGATGGTTTATGGACACCCCTTAACCTCTGAGGAGCTATCAATAGACACCCCTTAGGGTGTCCTGGTATGTCTTCCGGTCCCACGTCTCGGCAGTTTCACTGGGATTCGGTGGGTTTTCTCAAGACTTTTCTTTGATCACTTGGCACCTCTTTCACAGAGTCATCCATCCATCCATCCATCCCTCCATCCCTCCATCCCTCCATCCCTCCATCCATCCCTCCCATCCCTCCATCCCTCCCATCCCTCCATCCATCCCTCCATCCATCAATCCCTCCATCCATCCATCCATCCATCCAGTTTCACGATACATATAATGAGGGCACTATGACTCAAATCACCCCAACAAAATCATCCACGTCACGTGTGGGAGTTCTATGAGATCCATGAATCCTCACATGTCGCCTCTTTGGGGGAGTTATTCTTTTTGGAAGCACCCCACTGAGTGTGTAGCTCAAATAGGGAAACCTCCCCAGATAAACTTCATTGGGGGTCTCCCTATAGACAGACGCACCTGCAGAGGTTGCTGCTGGCACCAGCGCCTACCTACGCAGCCAGGCGCAACCCCATCTCCTCCCCCGACGAATCGTCCAAACAAACCCAGAAGCATTGTAGGTGATGTCTTGACCGTAGCAGTGGAAGCGGATGTAGTCCTGCTTCGCAGCGTCAGTGCAAAGCTCGTGGGTTTGGGGTTCTTCGTGATTCCTATATTTTAGCGGGTGGATTCGTGGATGATGCCATTGTGTTACATCTACACTATTTGTCACACTCCCTTCTCCAAATTTAAACATGGAAGAGGAACACCACCCATGTGCAAGGAATATACTTTAAGGTGGCAAGTGTTCATGTTCTGTGGTTCTTGGATAGGCAGCAATTACTAGATACTCATACCGGTATACCCATACCTAAAGACCATCCTACCTTCTTGGCCGTTTCGCACATGGGCTCAATCGAAACGTACGCTCGCTGCCAGTGGCCGGGGCGCTACGTAACAGTTACTGTCGGCGGCCAGGACTGGCCGCGCCAGTCCTTGCCAACTTGTTTAGAAGATCAAATACTGTAGGTAGAAACGTATAGAAGGAAAATACGTTATCATGAAGTTGTTGCAGTAGTCAGGGAAGGGACATACAAGCATCATACGACACCTCATGACCAATCCCGGGATCACCACATCCTAAGATCTCCGAAGTCGAAGTCCTATTACGGATCCCACCACAGGAGTCATCCAAACATATCCAAACCACTTTGGGTTGCACTAAAAGGAGCGAAGAACCCGGCCAAAACGGACTATCTGTTGCAGGACGTTGGTCTGTTCCCATCTCCTCCGAGAGTCCCACAAAAAACGATCCAACACCATGTCCATCATGGAAAAAGGTGCCATGAGAAAAAAAAAAGGCCATGTGACCATGTGTGTTTTTATATATGTGTTTCTCTCGTTTGCACCGTGTGTTGCAAACCTTGGTTCATGATGTTCATGTGCAACAAATGGTGCTTCAAAGCCAACAAACGCTGCTTCTCACGACTGAGTCTGTCGCTCCCGTCGAGCTCGATGATATGATGGTGTTTGTGGGGTATCAAGATCCCCGGCCCAGCGGACTCGGTCGACCTGGTATACTTCAACACTTTGTCAACTGGCAGTCTGGCAGCGCACCCTGTGGTGTCCATCCATGTTTCAAAAAAAAAGAAAAGTGTAAAAAAAACTGTAAAACAGAAAGTGTAAAAAAGTGTAAATTTCAGTTAAAAAAGTTTTTTTTTTTTTTTAAGTGTAAAACAATAACATTTAGAAAGTGTAAAAAAGACCATTCCTGCAGTGTCGTGGCTCCCCCAGTGCAACACGGCAAGTATCACGCGTCCTGCATCCCTTCCATCATGGAATAAACCGTCAACGGTGCTGTGATGTAGTAGCCTCAAGCAGCCCGCGCAGACGCGGCAGGCAGCGCCCGCGTCTGGTGCTAGCCAAAACGAATCAGAGTTTGGTGCGGAAAGTCTGGAGTCTGGAGGGCCCAGTGGATGGAAAACGATGTGGGACTAGTTTTTGTTGGAAAAGTCCTTGCGCATTCAGTGAAACAAACCGCAAATATGTGCAATACACTGAGGTCAAAAAAAAGAGGCGTCGGTGGCGTTCCGGAGAAAACATGAAACAACCTATATAACAAAGCAAGAAGTTGCCTGGAATCCGAACCCAAAATACCACCCGCTTGGAAAAATGAGTAGGATATAGTAGGACAAGTCAACGCAAGACTAGTGGACCATCGTAAAATGAAAGCATTCGTCCAATGCAAACACGTCTGTGGCCCATGGGTGGTCTTTTCGGATATTTTCGGGCCCAGATTGTATGGAGGCTGGCCTTCCTGCCCTGATCCATCTACACTGTTCACTCTGTCTTTACCAACATGTCGTGGTCGGTGATGGTGATCTGATGGTGATCTGGTTGCTCCCTGGACCCAGCCATGAATCAAGGAACACCCTGGAACCTACCAGGACCACGGAGAAGTCTGTGGTGACTATGGACACCCCTTTTCCGTTCCAATCACCACCCCACCACCGTGCTCCTGGTTGAGATTCCGCCTTCCGTCCTCCACTGACGCCCCTTTCCGTCGCGCTCCGCTGTCTCCGGGGGGGGTGTCGGTCCGAGAGGCGTTGCGTGGAGCGCCAAATGTTGTCGATGGTCAGCATCACCTCGACCGGACGCGTCCGGACACCGCGCGCGACCCCGCGGGACCCCGGTTGAGCGGTGGACACTGCGGACACCGCGGCGGACCCCCACCCCCGGGACCGGAGGTGAAGGGCATCGGGTCACAGGTTTGTGGAGAAACCAGGTCGGCCAAAAGCGGTTTTTCCGAACACCTGACCTCCTTCCTTGGTACAGTCGCTCGCGTGGAGCGAGCGACCTGGGGCTGGACTGGTTGGAACCCTGACGCAGGTTTCAGCCGTGCATCTTCTATCCCAAAACTACCCCGTTGGTCTGTGGAGGTGCTCAAGAACACTGTTGGTGATAGGAACATGTTGCGGGAGGGTCAAAGTTGGCTGTTCCCCCCAAGCAATTCTGGGTGTGCCAGCTGGTACTAAGTCCCCAGGGTAAGAGATAAGGCCAGATTGCGCCAGGAGTGCCCTTGAAGTATCTCAAAGGATGGGTTTCGATTGCCCCGCGGCAGTCAACCTGCTCGGGTGGTCGTTCAGAACATCAGCTACTCAAGCGGCTGACTGACTCGACGGATTTCTGCCTTCGTTCGCACCGCCCGTGCCATGGTCCCCCTGACCGGGGAATAAACACATCAGTACTAGCCGGACGCGGATGCGCAACACCTCGATTAGACACCAGTGCTTAACCACTACCGTAAGAACCCCCAGTGTGTCCACACTGTTTGGGGAAAAACATGGTTCGGGGCTTTCAGCATGCAAACGATCACTGCACCAAAGAAAGAAGGCTAGGAGCCGCCAGCGCTATAGCAGGCATGCTAATGTGGTTTGTATTGATCGTCATTGATCCAAGACACCCCCAAGAATCCCCCGCCATGCCCAAGAAAAAAATTGAAAAAAACAAGATGGAGCCCACGAACCCGAATGCAAACACGTTCGAAAAGCTACATACATATGTCCAAATGACACTCTTGTAGGACACTCTTGTGGGTCACTCTTGTCGGAAACTCTTGTGGGACACTCTTACGGGACACTCTTGTGGGACACTCTTGTGGGACACTCTTGTAGGGCACTCTTGTGGGACACTCTTGTCGGACGCTCTTGTAGGAAACTCTTGTGGGACACTCTTGTGGAACACTCCTGTAGGAAGCTCTTGTGGGACGCTCTTGTAGGACACTCTTGTGGGAAGCTCTTGTGGGACACTCTTGTAGGACACTCTTGTGGGACACACTCTTGCGGGACACTCCTGTGGCTAACTCATTTGGGACACTCTTGTGGGACACTCCTGTAGGACACTCTTGTGGGATACTCGTGTGGGACACTCTTGCAGGACACTCTTGTGGGACACTCTTGTGGGACACTCTGCTAGACGAGCTTTTCGTACGAGACTTCCTCCAAAAGTCACGCGTCAAGTCTCAAAAACGAGCGTTTCGTACGAGACTTCCTCCAAAAGTCACACGTCAAGTCTCCAAAACGAGCGTTTCGTACGAGACTTCCTCCAAAAGTCACATGTCAAGTCCCCAAAACGAGCGTTTTGTACGAGACTTGCTCAAAAACTCAGATGTCAAAGTCTGCAAAACGAACGTTTCGCACGAGACTTCCTCCAAAAGTCCAGCGGAAACACCCATCGGAGCACACACATCACGCAGCCCTGCCAAGCAGTTTCGCGATTCCAGCCCCTCCAAATGACACCCGCTCACACGCCAATCCCAATGTGACAGCGACATTCACCTCTACCACAACTCACAACCTCCCGATTCCCTGCGCCTGCCACGAATCTTTCCGCGTCCACACGTCTAACGCACACAAAGTACTGCGCCTGCCACGAAATGTCACCTCCGTCACACCTCGCAACCTCACGATTCTGCGCCTGCCACGAGAATCGCACTTCCACACCTCAAAAAAGCCGCACAAAGTACTGCGCCTGCCACGAAAAGTGACAATATCGTCTCACGTGAGCTTCAACAAAATTTGCACCACACCACACGTTTGGAATGATTTCGACCCGTTCTGAGCACACTCCCATCCACCAAAATCGGCATTTCAGCTGAGACTTGTCACGAAAACAGAGCTTCGATGCCACACCCTGAAACGCAAATCCCAATGGCACAGCCACATCCAACACCCCAAAAACACGACTCTCCAAACGCTAATCCCAATGGAACTGCGCAGCAATCTGCAGATCTCACAAAACGCTGCGCCTGTGCAGCGAAACGCATTTGGTTTCTTGCGCGGCGTGTCATTTTCATGCAAATCACAATGGAATAGCGGCGCAAACTGACACGTGACACATCCATGAAAAGTCACTTGCAAAAGCTTTCCCCAATGGCAGCGCCTTAGCGCTCTACTGCGAACGGTTGCGGACGGTTGCGAACGGTTGCGGACGGTTGCGAACTTAGAAACAACGGGTCGCGAACAAGGCTCTACCCCCAGACCCCCAAGAGTTAAACGAGAACCCTTCGCTATGCATTCGGGAAAAGGTATACCAAGGTCAATGAACTTGAGAGAGGAGGGGGTGAACGAAAGGTAGCAGGCAATCACAAGTAACCCTTTCGTGACATCACAAAGTAGATCAACATAGTGGGCCGAATGCCGCACCCCTGGGCCACCTCATCAGCCAAGGAGCCACCTCATTGGCCTCCATGGAGGCCTCCAAAGAGTGTCGCATGCAGCTGGCGCCGATCATGCCCCAGTTCAGGACCTGCCATGGAGACGTCTAGTGTCACACCGGAGCAGTGTCACGTCTAGTGTCACGTCTGCTGTCTAGTGGGCCTTAAAGAAATACAAGCAAAACACATGCAAAAAGCATTGTTTCTTCTCCATGAACATATTCTCCGTAATTATCATTACTGTACCAGGACCCTCCTGTCGGGGTGCCCTGTCTGGAAGCCTAGGCTGGTAGTGTGGGGTAGTCCAGCCAGGACACCCCTTGGAGGGTCCTGGTACGTGTTGCCTTATTGATCCATCATGTTCCCATCTTCATGTCTGATGTTTGGTCATTGGGTGGACTTGGGGGGCTCCAACTGCCCTCTGACCATGATCCTCTGGGTTTCAAACTGAAACCTCGAATGGGCTCCATGGCTCTGTCGCAACCAAACTGGTTGAGAGAAGTGATGGATGAAACAACCGCCCATGGTGCAAAGAGTTCAATTGCATTGTTTGATTGGGATGGAAAAGCACTTTGACGATTAATTAGTAAGTATGTGGACGTCATCCGCCCTTCGAACTACCTGGCAGTGACCAACCACGCGGCTCAGTCCTTGCGGTTTGGGGTTGTGTCTTTAGTGTATAGGGAAGCGTGTGGATCACATTGACCCCTCGTGGCTGGACAGGACAAAGCCTACATTGGAGACGTCAGGGAAGCCTACTGTTGAAAGCCCGACATGTTGTTTTGGCCCTTAGGACAGACTGCAGAGTAGTAGTCAAACCCACCACCTGAAACATGCACATCTTCCATTCTCTTCCAAACGTGAACCGTTTCTTCGTGCGGTTGCACGCACATGCCTAAACAGCCATCGCTGCCAAAAAGACAGACTATTCCATCCTATTCCGCACGTGCACGCTGGTGCCGCCGTGCGCTGGTTTCGCCTGGAGGATCAGCGTGAAGATGAACATCCCGATGGGTGAGTAATGAAACTCTCCTCAGCGCCGCGCGCCCTTTTCGCACTTCGGGAAGCAATGAGGCAACAGAATGGGGGGGGCACAAAGGGCCGTCTTCATCAGCGTGGGATGTGTCGAGCTGCTGACAAGATTGAGGCTATCTGCTCAAGCAACGCGATCGGCGTCCCCAGTGGTGGTTCAATGATTTGTTCGCGAACCTTGAGCAAGGCTTAGGGGGATTGTGCTGAAGGAGGTGCACCACAACGACAATTTTCCTTGTCCGAAAGGTTTCAAAATCACAAGGAACAGAAGTTGATGGAAGCGCTCCGCTTGCAATCAGCGGAGGGAATATGTTATTGACAATTAAGGAGGGGCTGAGCCAGTGTTCTTCTGGGTTCACGGCCCGTCGTCTCCCCGGGGACCAGTCTCTGCGACCATGTCACGGCTATCAAAGACGTTGTAGAGGTTAAAACCTCAACGTCAGTCACGGATCAAGCCGAGGAAAGGGCAGCGGAATCATATCACCATAGCAGTAGCAATCTGGATCTAGCTGGGTACAAACACCGTCATCAACATATCGCATTCAATTCACTTCCTACATGCTAAGAAAGGGAGACTCGGTTTCTATTTAGATAACAGCAGAAGTTAAGAACTGACCAACCACTTCTCGGTTTGATGGGACAAATCTGGTTCGGAAGGACGATCGAATCCTCGAGAGGATGGCGAGAATCGCCCAACTGCAGGCACCGCTAGCTATAGTAGACCCAAACTACGCTCCCACATGAAGAGAATTGTACCATCCAAACGGATGAGCCACTCCTACCCAAGCCGGTGACAAGGGGGGCGGTGATGTTGTGGGCGCGAACAGTCCACAAGTCCGTGCATCCAAACCGGGGTGGGTTTCATTCCCAAACACGACCTGTTTGGGACTGCCAGGACGGACAGAGCCGCCCGGTCAACCACCCCTGGCAGGTGTCGTCCGCCAGTCCGTCCAGGTCCCAAAGAGGTCGTGTCTGGGGGATCTGGATGGCCTGGATCAGTCTTTCTTTGGCTTCGTCCGGAGGCGGACGGATTGCATGCTCCATACCATCCCCCCCGCCAAAAGCCGACGTGAGATCACCCTACTTACAAAAGGGGGCATCAAGATGAATCAATGAATCAAGTGGTCATCAGTGGTCATCCCTGGCGGTTGACTTCCTCCAAACAGATTCCACTTGAGGCCCGGACACCCAACGAAGAGCAAAATCCGAGAATTGCATCATATATCTTCATATTGCTTCTACAACCAATCCCAACCTGGTTCCACACCACCCCCAACAAGTCCATCAACAGCTGAATTTTCCGAACAGCTCCAACAAAAAAAGGAAACCTCATCTCGCCCGCCCTCCCTCCAACTAACTAATTGCGCCCTGCGGCCTTCTCATACCTCCTCCCACCCCTTCCTCCTCCCCATCTGCGGTGCAGTTTAAACTGCCCTGCAACGCCCAAAACATCCACACCGCTACCGCGCGCCCAGGGCCCCTGAAGGAGGTTTCAGCGCTCAAAACAAAAGCGCGCTTTCAGCACACGGTACTTGATCCGCGCGAAAAAAGGGCCCAGGGGCCGATCCAAAAGAGTGGCATCCAAGCCCACAAGAAGTGCCTCACAACGGACGACGGTCGACCGATTCGTTCGGTCGTCCGATTCGTTCGGGCCGGTGTCGAACGAAAGAAGCACGGTCTCGGTGACGACGTGGCGAGGCCCCACGACCGCCACGAAGGAGCGCGTTGAATTGGACCGTTCCAAAAGGGGGACGGAGGCCATGTAGTTCACTCTGGATAGAAAGAATTGGAGATTGCCAACAGAGTCAAGATATGTCAACAGAGTGAACTACATGCCTCCGTCAAGATGTCCATCCAAGATATGTCAACATATCTTAGTTGAACCATTTGGAGTCGGAGTCGTCACTCCCGAAGGTCCGAGTGAGTCGGAAGGTCACCGGTCCAAACGTATGAAGTCGCCAAGTAGCGAAGCTGTAAACATGCCCTATAGGGCTCCAAGTGGGACTGGGGTGGGTGGAGGAGGGTCCAGTCATACCGAACCTGAGGAGGTACGACTGGAGCCCTATATAGGGATGGTCTATACCTTCATCTACCAGGACCCTCCAAGGGGTGTCCAATGGACTACCCCACACTACCTATAGGCTTCCATTGGGCACCTTCTATTTTCTCTACACCTCCAGTCGTACCTCCTCAGGTTCGGTATGACTGGACCCGAACATGGCACCCGGGCCCCCCAGTCCCACCTTCGAAACGAAGGTACGACTGGAGGCCTAGGGTTTGATTGGAACCTGGTTCTTCATGTTCTAGTTTGATTGCGCGCAGTCTCCAAAACCTGGCATTTGTTCATGAAGAACCTGGTTTCCCACAAAAAGGAAACCCCCCAGCTCAAACGCGCCGAGAACAGGACGAGGCACGTGAGGTTGCAAACCAAGATCAGCAAACGGCCCCACCAGCGCATCTCATCCGGCCAGATCGAGCCGAAGCCGAGGCCTCGATGCTTGTGAGGCCGATCGGCCGGCGAGGCCCGTTCGGCCGAACGATGGGAGAGTGGGACAGAGTGGGACTGTGGGGGGCTTCGTTGGGAAAGAGCTTGCTGTTGGGATGTGGATCAAGACCCACGTGGCTCAGGTGCCAAAGTCCTTCCATGAATTCATTGGAAAGATCATCAACCTTTCCGGAACATGCTGGAGGTTTAAACGTCCTTCGAGTCTTCCTCTTAAGCTTGGTTGGTGAGGCCAAACGATGCCAAGCGGTTTGTTTCTTGCCCTAAACCTATCCACAATCATCCACCGTCCATTAAGCCCAAAGCCCAAAACATTAGGAGTGAAACAACACAACATCAGCCATCCTAAGATCATCACAACATGAGCTTAAGAACAAATAAACCCAGGTTGATTTGGTCTACCCTATCTCGAATCGACGTTCCATGCTGGCCGCCTCTTGTGGCTCTTTGCTCACATGGCCGCCTCTTCTACCACCCCCAACCAGGTGGCACCTCCTAGGTCGTCCACTGAGAGGTCTTTAAATGCACCGAATCCACAGAGGTCGACTTGCAGTCGCTCTCCGAGTCTCCGAGTGGTGTGGGGTGGTGCGAATGAACCCCCATCGGCCATGGCGTCGGTCCCGGTGTAGCTTGGGGAGATGTTTTCATGCCCAGATGCTGGAAGAATGCGACGGTCGCACATCCCTCTATACCAGGACCCATCCGTTTGAGGTGCCTACAGTAATTCAATCGCCTCTTAGAGGTGAGTCGGGGGTGTCCCAAAAACCACCGGACGAACGGTTTCGGTCCTGGTAGAGGATTCCTTCTTGGGATGGATTTGGGGGATGGACACTTGTTGGAGTTCATTGGTCGTTGGCCATGTCCAGCGTCCAGCCACCGTGCAAAAACCGTGGAGCTTTGACCCTGTCCGCTGGAAGAGTGCGAGAACACATTTGTCTAAAGAGGGAGAGAGAGAGAGAGGGGAGAGAGAGAGAGGAATAGCAGGTGAACGCACATGTCAAAGGATGTCCATGGGAGATTTGGGGTGGGTTTCTGATTCAACGGTGGGTATGTAGTGTTTGGTGGTCTCCCCCACTGGATCTGTTTAAAGGCCTTTAAGCACCTTGTCCCTTTTGATCCCTTAAAGGCCTTGCTTGACCCTCTCACACTTCCTTCAAAAGAAAGGAATTGCACAGTCCATGTGATCCCTACCCCCCTTCGAGCCTCCTTTGTTAGGAACAGGAACCATTGTTCTTCTCGGATCTCGGATCTTCTTTATATTCCTTGAGGGGGGTCGTGTCCATGTGTGACGGGTTGACGGCAAGTGGTGCCCCTCCCAAGCAATCCAACGTTTTCCTCCCAGGTGGCAAATTCGCTGCACGAACTTGCAGGTCTCTGTGATGATGGAGATCACAAAGAGCACCAAGGCCAGGGTTGCTACCCAGACCTGAGTCTCCAGCTGGTGAGCGTCTTTGCTGGTCAACCTCGTTGCGGTCTGTGGATGTCTAATGAATCCAATGTGATGTCAAACGCAAGAGTCCTTGGAAACAGTTGAAGACATTT